ATATGAAAAGGACATATTTGGATGAACCCCACTTTTTTGTTTTGCTTTTACTTGAACTTTCATCATTATTTTTTTTTTGTGTACTCTCTCTCTCTCTCTCTCTCTCTCTCTCTCTCTCTCTTTTCTTTCTTTTGCTCTTGTGTAATGTCCAATGACTCTCCTACAGCAGAAATAGAAAGAAAAGAATATAAGAAGAAGAAGAAATATAAACCAAATAAAAGAGAGGGATTTTAAACATGATTCGACGCACATTGCGGCAGTTACTCCTTAATGTATCGGGTGAAAGTCCGTCATTCCGTGCAAAGCCCGTTCGGAATCTTCAGATGGATGTTCAGATGAGTCCATATAAAGAGCAATTTAAGGATTACTGGTCTACACCCGTACCGTGGGCAGATCGTGAGTATGGCGAGAAGCCAAAGTTAGGCGCACCCGTTCCCACACGCCGTGCGGCTACTGCTATCGTAGTGGGAAAAAATAAATACATGGATGCGGCAAAGATTGAGTCTGGTGAAGATAATGATTACAAAGTACTTATGATGTATCGTGAGGGAAAAGGTCGTTTCGTGCGAGATCAGTTTATTTTTCCCTCATTCCCTCTTAGTTTAGAAGACAGTTCAGAGGATTGGGATAAAATTCTTCGCCGCCGTGAAGTAAAGACACATTGGCCAGATTTACATCATAGACTTTGTGCTATGCGTGCACTCTTTGCACAGATGAATATTCTCTTAATTCCTAAAGAAGGTGGTGGACTCGCTGAAGTGGAAGGACCACCTGGACCAAAGAAGTGGCATTTACTCGTTCACTCATCTCCAAAGGCGATGAAAAATCTTGTAGATGTATTAGAATTACCAATGGAAACCTGTCTCTCTCAATTACTACCCTTTCGTAGTATTATAACTCCTACAACGGAAACCTTTCGATTTGAAAATCTTAATTATCTTATTCCGTTTGAAAAGATACCGGATGTTAGATTTACAATTAGTACTTTAGGAGAAAAACTTGTCTGGGTATCACCTATGGAAGCCATGGCAAGATTTAATGCTGGTATAATGAATATGCCTACTCCAAATCTTATTACCCTTTCAGAATTAAATAATGAATGTCCAACCTTTGAAGATGTAATGAAACGAACCCCACGTACTCCTCCTCGTTCAGTTCTTCCTGAATTATTTCGTCACACTGAAAGTAAAGTTGCCACCATTGTTCTTCCTGGTGACTTTGCTCATCCCTCAACAACTGAAGAAGATAAAAAGGAAAATTATCTTCGTAGATTTGTTTATGAAAAGGATTATCCATTTGGTGTTCGAGCTGTATTTGAAGAAAGACCCGCTACTCCATCAGAGACGGCAGAACCACTCATTCAAGAAGCTCCCAAACTCTTAGAAGAGGCAAATGAGATGGATATGGTTTACGCGGATATTCCTTACCCGAAACGAGAGAAACGTCCTGAAGAAATGGGGCGTACATTATTCCCTGTTCCTAAATATACATTTCAAGAAGGGACTGAAAATGAAGAAGGTGTTATTCCTGTGCAAAAGAGGAATATTGAGAGTATAGGTGACCTTTACACACACACCAATTAATGAAATGGGTTCATATCGCTTTGACGTCATCACAGGATATGGAAATATTGTATATCGAATGTTTAAGATTGAAGGTATATTTTTTTTTATTTATTTTTATTTTTTACACCTAGTCCCTCCATTATTAAAGAGAAGCAAAAAAAAAAAAAGCAAAAGACTTGAAGTATGATGGAAAAAGAAAAAAAGAAACATTGAACATGATGTTTTTTTTTCCCCCTATTGTACAACTCACCTCTTTTCTCCACTCTCCACTGTCTCATTTACTTTGTACGCCTTTTATTTATTTCTTTTCTTCTTTTCTTTTTTTTCTCCCTGCAGGTGTATCCGCAGTTCTTCTACCTCTCTCTCTCTCTCTTTCTCTCTCTCTCTTTATATATATAAAGATAGATAGATATGAAAGGTTCCTCATTCCTCTCGCAGGTGCGGCCCGGCTGTTTCCGTGTTGTTGTGCACGCCAAGCCGGGGGCCCGCAGCTCCGCCCTCTCGTGCCGCCCAACGCTGGCGGATGCGGCGCTCGAAGTGCGGGTGGCGGCACCGCCGGTGGAGGGAAAAGCGAACGCGGAGCTTGTGGAGTTCATGCAGTCTTTGCTCGAGCAGCAATTGCGGTTCCACACACGGGTGGGATTGGCGAGTTCCGCCGATGCCGGTGTGGTGGACAACGACACCGTCTGGCGTGAGGGTGGGAATGTGGAGAAGAATAAGAATAAGAAGAATAATAATAATAATAATAATAATGTGAAGAATAAGAAGAAGAGTGAAGAGGAATGTGTGGGGTCTACAGAGAAATTGCGGGTCTCATTAGTGAGTGGTGCTACGGCTAGACATAAGGTGCTTGAAGTGACCTTTGGTGGGACGCAGGAGGAGTTGTTTAGTTTGTTGGAATCGGCAGATACTACAGCGAAGTGATATGGATATGAGTTGTTGTTTGTTTGTTTGTTTGTTTTTCGTTTTTGTCTTTTATTTTGGTTCTATCTTGCTTTATATATTTTTATTTATTTATTTATTTATTTTATTTCTCTCTGTGTATTGAATTGAAGTGGGTGGGAAATTACATTTACTGTATGTACTCTCTTATCTTGTTACTATGACTAGAAAAAAAAACGAATCTTTCTTTGTTTTTCTTTTTCTCTCCCAGTAACAACAGAGTTCACGTGGTTATTTTCACGGTTCTTTGGGTTCATTTGATAAGCACCAACAACCCATTTCAGGGATTTATATATATACATACTGGTAGAAGAAAGAAAAAAAAACAAAGAAAAACGGATAGATAGCTAGATAGATTCATAAAAAAAAAAAAAAATGCATACCTTCTACACTATTCGTTATCCTTCTTCTACCGCTGCGAAAGGTATAGGTGATGGACTCCCTATTCGTGTCACTAATAAAGCAATGGAATCTCTACTATTTTGTATAGTTCACTCAATTGAGTTTCAAAGTCCTCTACAGCCATTAAAGCCCCATTTATCATCTACAAATAGTACAAACAGTAAAAATAACTCCTCAAATGAAGAGGAATATGTCGTTCCAGTAGTAAACACAAGCCTACTTCTTGGGAATGTAACCTATGTTGCCCGTTCAGATCACAATCAAACACTTCTTATTTCTCTGCGTAAAGCCGTGGATGCCGCCTGTGCAATTCCAATACCTGAAAAGAAAAATCAAGTCCCTTTTGAACTTCGCGTGCGGCTTCTTCGCCGTCAACGGGGTTGGCTCTGGCATGAGTCCCGGCCTCTCGTCGAGTGGGTCTTTCGAATGATAAAAACAAGAGAAGAGTTTAGTTTTCCCTCCTCCCACACAGACTCCAGTGAACAACAACAACGGCAAGGGCAAGGACAACAACAAAGGTTAATGCCTCATTTATCATCTAAAAAGACTTCTGCATTTGCGGGAAGTCAAACCCGTATTCAAGAGGAGGGAATCGTGTATTCAAATGACCCAAATCAAATTCGAAGTGTACTTCAGTTTATTTTAAAACACAGTTACGAGGCTATAGATCTCAACAGTTATTCAGACTTTAGATCAGGTGAGTTAATTTTTGACGTTTCCGTTCAGGAAGTCTCATAAATTTGAATTTCACATGAAAATTGCAAAAAAGAAAAACAAAGTGATAGGGAATAAAAGTGAGAGTATTATACTGCTTGTTTATTTAGTTTTCTTTCTTTCTTTTTCATTTATTTCATTTATTCTGCTCTTCTAAATTATTTTCCCCATCTATTTTTTTTTATGTTTGCTATTGTCTGGTACACTCTTTAACGTTCTATCTATCTATCTATTTATCTATTTACATGTATGCAGTTTATAAGTGTTAACCACGAAGAGTTTGTATCCCCCCTGTAGCAGTGTGAAGAAGAGGAAAAAAAAGATAGTCCTACTACATATTATTGTTATTATTATTCAAGAAGGGTTTATGAGAGCTTTTTTATATTGTTGTTATTGTTATTATTATTTTCTTTTTTTTTCTTTTTCTTTTCTTTTTTTAATAAATCATCATTCATAAAGAGTGGAATATATTTTTAAAAAAAAAAAAGGACCAAATTATTATGTTTTAATTTTCTCCATCCATTCATCTTGTGTATATTCTAAACACTCATGATAATGAATGAAATCAACGTTCCAGTCTTCTCAATGGCCACTGCCCTCCGCGAAGTGGTTTCCTGTTATGATCCCTCCCAAACACCTTTGGCTTTATTGTGTGCATCGCCTGGGATTCGTTGGGTCTGTGAAGAAAAGCGAAAAACAATTGTGGGACCCTGCAGTTTACATCTCTCCAGTGATGGATCTCGCCGTATTTCATGGGAGTCTTCTTCTTCTTCTTCGCCTTCACATCCTTCTCTTGTGGAGAATACCCTACAGTCTGTGGTCTGGTGGTGTAATCGTCCTTCATATAGTGGAAATTGGATTCCACCAACATGTTTAGATCTTCATGCGATTTCATGTTTAAATGGAGATCATTTAAATGTTGTTTTTGCTTTTCAATCGCTTGTACAATTATCCCTTCGTCGTTCCCGTATTGAGGATGTTAATATACTTGGAATGTTACCACTTCTAAAAAGATTAGATTTAACACAATCACATGTTGTGGATAGTGGTATTAAAGGTCTTGGGAATAGTTTGAGTTTAGTAGATGTGACTTTCTGGGGTTGTAATGCCATTACAGATGTAAATATACTTTATAAGATTCCAACACTAGAAAGTGTAAATCTTACAGAAACATCTGTATATGATGATGGTGTTGCGGGATTGTCCAATAGTTTAAGTATTAAATTACTGAATATGGATACGTGTGAGTTGATTAAAGATGTAGGATGTTTTGGGAAATCACCAAAGTTAGAGAAATTACTCTTGGTAGTAACTTCTGTTAACAATAATGGTGTTTTAAATCTTTCTAACAGTAAGAGTCTTGTTGAACTTGATCTATGGGGATGTAAAGATGTAAATGATGTGAATTCCTTAGGGAAAATACCTACACTACGAAGATTAGATCTATTTGGGACGTCGGTAACGAATGAAGGTATAATAGGTTTAGGGGAAAGTCGTAGTCTTGAAGAAATTGATTTCACAGGTTGTGTACATATCAGTAATGTTAGTGTATTGGCATCTATACATACTCTTCGGCATGTAGGGCTTTTACACACATCAGTTGAAAATATTGAAGATCTAGTTGATAAGGAAATAACGATTGCATTGTGATCATAGTCTCTGTATACTCCAGTTGAGTAACAGTCTTAGTAATGAAGTAGTATGAGTGAATGAAAATAATAATAATAATAATAGTAATAATGATTTTTTATTTATTTATGAAATTCTTTTTAATGAACGATATAATGGTACTTTTTTTTTTGATTTTTGATTTGTTTCGTTACTTAGTTTTCTCTATTATCTTCCCTCTTTTGTTTTTCCCTTTCTCTCTCTCTCTCTCTCTCTCTCTCTCTCTATCTGATATATCTATTTCTCATTTTTATTTTATTTTTCTATTTATTTCTCTATTCTTCGAGTGACGCCGATCACATACACACACACACAAACACACTCACCCTCACACGTATACAGATAAATATAAATATATATATATTCTTATTGTATGAAGCGAATTTACAAAGATGCAGAGGATAGTCCGTGTGTAATGCCGGAGACTGCGATGTCTTATATTCACACAGACTTGGCATCTATGCTCCGTAATGCCCAGTCTAAGACTCTCCGTCTGGCCGCAGAGTGTCAAGATATCCTCACCGGTGGGGTTTCATCTCCTTCAGAGACATTAGATGGAATCGCAAAACTAAAAGAGGCGTATAGCGGTATTATGAAGATACAAGCACCAATGGTCCGATGCAGTCGTCCGGCATTTCGTAAACTTTGTCGTTTGTGGGGAACAGATATCAACTATACACACATGATTATGGCCGATAGTTTCTCTCGCTCAGATGCCGCTAGACACTCTGACTTTTCTATTTATTCTGGTGAAAATTGTTTGGTATCTCAGATTGCCTCTTGTAGTGGTCCTTTTGCTTCCCAATCGGCTGTATTACTAGCGCCCTACTGTGATGCGATTGATCTTAACTGTGGATGTCCACAGCGCTGGGCAATGAAAGAAGGACTTGGTTCTGCTCTTCTCCAAAAGCCGGAGGTGGTCGCGGATATTGTGCGTTGTGTTCGTAATGGTCTCTCCGGTGGGGAACACGATATTCCCTGCGTTGTGAAGATGCGTGTAAGTGATGATGTGCGGCGAAGTGTGGACTTTGCGCGACAGTGTGAGGCGGCCGGCTGTGCGTGGATAACAGTTCACGGACGAACGCCATTCTGCACGGCCCACGCGCCTGTTCGCCTTGACGCCATTCGCCTCATTCGAGAAAGTGTGTCTGTTCCCATTGTCGCGAATGGAGGAATTTCGAATCCCCAGACCGCGCTGGAAACCGCCTTGTCTACAGGTGTGGGAGGGGTGATGAGTGGAATGGGTGTATTGGCAAATCCCGCTTGTTTCTATCTTCCACGGGAAGAGGAGAAACTGCACTTTGCCCCTCAGCGATGTGTGGAGAATAATGATAATATTCCATTCCTATCCCATCTAGGAGAAGAAGGAAAGGAGGAGGAAGAAGAGGAAAAGAAGAAGAAGAGGAATGGTTCTTCTTATTCTGTGGTGAATGGTAAAACACCTCTGCGATTGGAGGGATTGCCTTGTTGTCCTGTGGAAGTAATATCCGATTTTATTCGTTTGAGTTGTGTGATGGATCTCGCCTCCAAGGCGACCTCTATGCATTTACTGAAGATGGCTGGTAATTACTTAAGCCCCACTGAACGGGTATTTGTAGCTCAGATGCATTCCTCATTCTCTATTACGGCGGCATTTCAACAACTTGGATTTTACATCAAGGAAGGGAAATTTACTGTAGACTACACAACAGAAGAGGAACTGTTTGGTGTGGTGTGAAATACCTTTTCTCTCTTTCACACTTTCTTTGTTTTTTTTCACACACAATATATATATATATATATATATATAAATTGGAGAAAGTGTAACGGAAACCTCGCTTAACAAGAAAGAAAAAAAAAAGAAGAATGGGGAAGAAGAACTGTTTGGTTTGGAATCTATTGCCGGACACCTCTGTGTGTGTATATATATCTCTCTTTCCCCATTTCTCTATTTTTCACTCTATTTGGATTCATTCATATAATTTAAAATGAGGATATTATCATTCCCTCATATTCGTGTACTTCTTTTTTTTCTCTGTTAATATTAAATTTTCTTTTTCTATTTCTTTTTCTATTAACTTTATGCTGTTTACAAAAAGAAAGGGAGGAGAGTGTATACACTTCATCACATATATATATATATATACACACAGAGACGCTCTTAACACTTATCCTCCCTTCGTCTCCTTTCCCCTTTAGAACCGGAGACGTACAAGAAAAAAAAAGAAAAAAAAGGGAGGAGGGGTTTATATCTGTACGAGTCTGTCACAGAGAGTATTGTTTGTGGGCGAAAACAATAGAAGGAGAATAATAAAAAGAATTAAAGAAGAAAGAAATATATATATTTATTTATATAGTCTGTATCTATTAGATTGTGTTATTCCACAACGGGGAGATCGTGTCTGTCCACATTTCTGGAGAAAAAAAAAAAATGAACGATCCACACATCACAAGAGAAAAAACAACTACTATTACTATTAATACTAATAATACTAATACTAATACTAGTAGTTCTACTACTACAATGACTGCATCTTCTCAGCGTACCACACATTCATCCACCTCACACGGAAGGCCACCAGTGGTTCCTCCTCACACAAGACGCCAAGAGAGACCCGTCTCTATTTTGAAATCAGCAGATAAAAATAGTGAATCCACACCTCGATATACACGACGTGTTTCCTTTGAGGAGGAGGAGGACGACTTCGCAGAGCCAAGGTTGTGCTTTGGTACTCCAAAGATTGCCGCGGATGTAGAGAAGAAGAAAAAAACATTACCAACAACATCAATGCCAACAACTACTATAACTATGATAACAGCAAACGTAAAAGAGACAACAGTACCACCACCAGCAACAGCAAGAATAACAACAACAGCGGCGGCATCTTCTTCTACAGAATCTTCTGCCAAATTACATATGGAGATACCACCAGAGGAGGAATTGAATGAGAAGCGAATGTGTGAAGAACAAATTGTCTCTCCAACTGAGAGAGAAAACCCACATCGTAAGAGTATACATTCATCCCCTCAGTCACCTCATAATGTACCTGTTCTAACTCCTCGTTTAACTTCTCAAACAGTCCACTCAGAAGTGAAGGAAAATATAGATTCTGTCTCTTCTTCTTCTCTTACACTCACGCATCCTGCAATGGCAATAACTTCAACGTCTGAGTTACTTCCTCCTCTAGATGTGACTGTGAGTGATATCACACAATCACCTATTAGTGTTGAATCTCATCCATGTCGTTCCAGTAGTCAAGAGTCCATTCAGGAACGCAATGCGATTATTTCTCTTATTAAAATGAGTTCTTCATCAGAATTAGATACGGTACGAAGAGTGATTGTTCCTGATGACAGGATACGACTTGGGAGTCATGAGTTGAGTATTACCCCAATTTCACTTGAAGGACGTAATCCGGAATTAGATATATCTGATGAAAGTTTTTCATTTTTCTTTGGAGGAAAATCACCAGAACTTCTTCATAATTCTCCACCTGCACAACAACAACAACAACAACAACAACAAAAACAAATACAACAACAAAATCAGCAAGAAGAAGAAGAAGAAAAAAAAAAGGAGGAAACGTCTAAACTACCTGCATTAATAGAAACTGATATGAGACCCATTGTACGACCCTCTCAATTGCATACCTTAAGTGTTTCTGATGGAAATAGTGGTACTTCACTCTTATCTCTCAGACATGGAAAAGCGAATTCCGTTTCAGCTGGTGTTGACCCTAATGATGTTGTATTTGATGATTCCTTCATAGATGCGATAACAATACCAGATAAGTATAGAGAAACAACAACAACAACAACAAGAGCAGTAGTTAGTGTAATGGGTGTAAAAAGTGAATGTTTGAGAAAACCAGATGTATTGGATAACGCTTCGTTGATTGATTTACCTATTCATCTTTATCCACCTCTTTTAGATACGGATGAGATACCGTATGTTTCTACGTCTACTCCAATCTCTAAATCTGTTTCCATACCCCTTGATGCTTCATTATTTCAATCCAGTGGTGGTGAAAAGAGTATACGAAATGAAAAATACATTTACGCCGCACAGAAACCAATTCTTTTTCATAAGATGTTCGTGAAGGAGAAATCTGAAAGTCCTTTGTTAATATCACAATCAGTTTCATCTTTTTCAGGTTTACACAGAAAACAGAAAAAGATTGAAGACTCTGGTGTCAAGTCTATTCGTACGGCAGATATGAGTAGTAACAAGAGAAGAATTCCCATAAAAGATCGATCATCCCCATCGAATTCTTCTTCTTCTGCAATATTTAAAAAGACATATTTTCCAAAAAGGAAAGCAAAGCCTGTTCTTGTGGAGTATGTCAATAAACTCTCAGAGGCTTGGCAAGACAAACTTCGCGAGGATGATAATAATAATAATAATAATAATAATAATAATAATAATAATAATCACAATACACATGGTAGTGAAAAGAGTAAAAAATCTCAAAGGCGTTGGAGATCTACAGATGATGATAACTACATTCCAAAACATCTTGAAGATAAAGCCAAAGAATTATTCCCTGGAGTTTTCTCTTCTCCATTTGATATTTCAGATAAAGGAGATCGTAAAGTAATCGCATGGAATGGAAACGTCTTCAATACAACACCGTTACTTCCCATCAGAAGAATGGAGATTGTGCCTCCAAAACCTGTCAAGAAGGAAAAGCCAGAAAAGAAATCTAAACCAGCTGTCGTTACCACTACTATTCATAAAGGTTCTTCTGTTTTTATGAAAAAGATGAAAAATAATAATAGTAAACCTCTTCTTCTTATTATTGAAGAAGAAGAGGAAGAAGAGAAAGAGATATTCGCAAAAACATCTATGGAGGAAAAAGAAAATATTAACGTTTTAAGTCATGAAGATGTGGAATTTGAAGAAATTGATTCCCTTCATGAACCCTCCAGAGATGTGATGAGTGACTTATCATCCCCAATCTCTGTGAAGACGCCATTATCTAAGAAGAAAACACAACCCACACCTTTGAAATCCAATGGGAATAATTCTAACTTTAAATCCAATTATGAAAAAGAACAGAAACTGCAGTTTAACACAACAACAGCAGCATCAACGCATCTAGATACAGAATCTTGTGTAAAACGATTTGAGAAACTGCAACGTACATTAATGCAATTGGCATTTGAACAGGCCTTATCTTCTCCCATATCCTCATCTCTTCCTAATGCAGACCTTGTTGAGGATATTACTTCCCCAGACCTCTATCATGAGAATAATAAAGAAGATAAAATGGAGAAGAAAGAGAATGAGAAAAATAATGAAAAGGAGGAGAAGGAGAATGATATTCTTGTGAGTCGTAGTGGTCCTTCTGCGGGTATGCAGAGAAGAAATGTATTACGAGCACCATTACCATCACCACTACCATCACCCCCACGGCAGCCGTCGTCATTCCAGTTGTTAACACGATCCACAGAAGGACTCATTCGTACACCTGTGCGAATAACACCAGCAGAAAGTGGAGAGGATGAAAGTGGAGAGGAGCAGCCAAGTGAAAGGCATTATTTATTTCCACCAACACAGCCCCTTGCGTCTTCTTTACATACACATACGCAGTACAGTAGTCACTATAGTGTTTGTGAGGATAAATCTATAAAGCGGAATTCCACTGAGGAATTACCGGAACGCTGCGTGACGGATCGTTTGGCAATGAAATGTTTTGCACGTGATATTTCTGCAATTGTGCGGGCACTGAAGGGAAGTGGTGTGTCGGCAGTGGTGTAAACGTGTTTTTTTAATAAGAGTTGTGTGTGGATTTCCTCTTCCCCCTACAGTGATTGAAAAGAGAGGAAAAGAGAGAGAGAGAGAGAGATGGAATTTAGAAGAAGAAAAGGAAAAAAAAAAAACTTGTACATTCATTAAAGTAATATGTCTTTATCTAGAAAAGGAAAGAAAATGAAGGGGTGTACCCAGTGGGATGTAACTCTTCCTTTTTTTTTATTATTTCTTTTTCTCGTTCTTTAAAAAAGAAAAAGAAAACAGTACAAAGTAAATAGTGTAGGACGTGGAACGCCGTCCTTCGGGAAATGGAAATCAAAGTGATTTTTTTTTCACTGATATTACCAATAGCCAATGTATTTCTATTATTGTTTTTTTCTCTCTCTCTATTTCTCCTGTGTTTTTTTTTCTATTGAACTGTTTTACCTGTTTCCTTTTCTTTACATGAATTCTCTTATTTGAAGCACTTAATATAATATAGGGCGTTTAACAGGTTCCTTGTGAATAGAAGAAAAGAATTCCAAAATCAACAACAAGAAGACCAATAGAAGAAAACGACCACATCACATAAAAGAAAAGGAGTGGGGTAGCAAAGGAAAGCCATTACCTATACGTATTCGTCTCCTCTATCTATCTATTTATTTATCTATCTATATACACATATATATATATATATATAGAGAGAGAGAGAGATAGATACATAGATATTTATATAAGGTGGTTAATTCCTCTTATAGATTCCTTGAAATTCTCTTTCCTTTGTATTGTTTTTTTTTTTGTTTACAGCTTAGTTCTCTCTTGGTGTTAATGTCTGTTCCTCTCACAGAGGAGGATCTGCATGAACTCTATCTTTGGGTAGATGATATTCCCATCTCTCGCCCAAAGCGCAACATCGCACGTGACTTCAGTGATGGCTGCTGTGTAGCGGAGGTGGTGAAGTTCTTCTTTCCCAAACTGGTGGATCTACACAACTACACACCCGCTATGTCTATGCGGCAGAAAAAAGATAACTGGGATACACTCAACAATCGTGTATTTCGCAAACTTCACTTTGAGGTGCCGCAGGAGGAAATTAATGATATCACGGCTGGTGTGCCAGGGGCTATTGAGCGTTTTCTCCGCGCATTGCGAACAAAGATTGCGCAGATTAAAGCCAGACGTGAGGAGATGCGGACAATGTATGATGTCGCTACTCCCCACTCCGCCGGCCGGCATTCTGAAGGTCTTTCGGGAAGAGAAGGAGGAAGAAGTATGAGTAGTAGTAATAATAATAATAATAATAATAATATTAATAATAATAAGAAAAACAACTATGATAATTGGACAGCAACAGGGGTTCAACAGATGCAAGGTTCATCCCATCGACAAGGTGGCGCTGCACTGAACTCACCATCAATGTATCGAACTCCTCCGAATGTAAAGAATGCAAATAATGAGATGAATCGTCCCTCTGCTATTCCCTCCGATAGCAACAATCATGATAACAACACCGCTAGTTTTCGTCTCTTGTTAGATGAAAAGGATCGAACTATATTTGAACTACGAGAAACGGTTAGTTTGTTGAGTGAGAAGGTGTCGAAACTAGAAGAATTAGTTCGTGTGAAGGATGAGAAACTCAATGCCTATCGTGCTAAACTTGGTCGCATGTGAAGACACATGGACTTTGATCAAGAAGAAAACAACAGGAAAAGAGAAAAGAAAAGGAAGAGAAAAACAAATGATATATTATTATTTCCAAAGGGATGAGTTTCCAACACATTTTCAGGCTATTATCGCCAATAGAAGGAATATGAATAATCTTATGTTGCTTTCCATGGATGAAAAAGAGAAAAGGAAGAAAGAAAAAGAAGAAAGGGGAAAGCACATGGATTATCATACCTATTTTTTTTTTACCACACTTATCTGTGTGAAGAAAGAATTACTTGTATCTTCTACATTACTCTCTTTACAGAGAGACATATAAACAAACAAAAAAAGAAAAGAGAGAAATACACCACTTTTTTTTTATCTTCTCCATTGTAGTCTCTATGCTGTAACTTTTTGTGTATAGTTTAACGACTTTTCTTTTCTCTCCTTCTTTCTTTATATCTTTTTTTATGTGTTTTTTTTTCTCGCGTTTATAACAAAAACAAAAAGTAGAGAGCAAAAATAAAATAATAATAATTAAAAAAAAAAGGAAGTAGTGGTGTGAGGGAAAAGAAAGAATAAAAGAAAAAACAAAAGAAAAAAACAAAAGAAAAAAAGTGATCAATTGATAGGAAATAACAACTCATGAGTGCCCGCCTGCAGGTTCCGTTATCCCAGCGTCGGCATACAAATATTGCGGCTGTCCGTTACACCAAGAATGGAGTTAAACTCGAGATTGCGTGCTATAAAAACAAAGTGATATCATACCGCAGTGGAGTGGAAACCCGATTGGATGAAGTCCTTCAGGTGGAGCGGGTCTTTACAAACATCTCACGTGGTTTGTATGCCTCTGAAAAAGAAATCCAAACTGTATTTGGTAGTGGAACGAGTGAGCGAGAGGCTCTGCAGTATATTCTCCAGTATGGGGAACTGCAGGTGGCCCAGCAGGAACGCACAGCAGAGGTGGATCAAATGTTTATAGACATTGCGGTTATTATTTCACAGAAGTGTGTAAATGCCGTTACGCAGAAACCATTCCCTGCACAAGTTATTGAACAGGCATTGCGGTCTATTGGGGCACGTATTAAATTGGATCAGCCAGTGAAAAAACAGGCATTGGCACTCCTGCATCAACTCATAGATGCACAACTTATTCCAATCGCACGGGCACGAATGAAACTAAGATGTATTGCGCCAGATACAACTTCACTCGATAAACTTGTGGATTGGTGTAAATGTAATGAAGCCACAATTGTAGAAGAAACAACGAACACAACTGGTAGTAATAATAATAATAATAATAATAATAATAATAATAATAATAATAATAATAGTAATAGTGGAGAAGGAGAAGAAGGAGAAAGAAGAGGTGATAATGTATCTTCGCAGCCTCCCTCACTCTTAATTCTCCTTCAACCGCACTTATTCCGTGAAATTGAGAAATTTGTGAAGACGGAACTTCCACCGGGAGGATCTGTACATATGGTGGAGAGTGCCTCTATGAACTTAGGGGATGGGGATCTTATGATGGATGCAGACTTAATTGCACAGGCCAACACACACGCTAGTTCCCCAAGCAACACTGGGAATGATTATAGCAGCAGCCACAACACAGGCGGAGGTGGGAGTAGCAGTCATAATAATAATAATAATAATAACACTCCACACAATGGTGGAAACAAGGGTGGGAAACGAGGGAAAAAAGGTGGTAAGAAACAACATGGAAAACATCATAATAATAATGATGAAGATGATGATGATAATGATAATGGTAATAATAATAATAATAATAATAATAATGATGATGACAAGAATAAAGATCGCCAGACTTCCACCACGGCCAATCTCACATCCACTCCTCCGTTAAATGATGATGAGAATGAAGAAACACTACAGGCGGCACTTCAGAAATTGGGCCTAAATGAAATGGGCGGCTCCTCCGACGAGGACACAGATGCCAAATCTAAACGCGGTAAGAAAAAGACAAAACGACGACAAACTGGACAACAACAACAACAACAAACAAAAACACAAAAAGAGGTGAAGTTTGATATTCAAGAGGGAAGTGATGATGAGGTGCTCGTAAACCGCAAACAACGCAAACAAGCGGTGGCAGCAAAGGCGAAAGAAGATGAAACACACCAAAACTATGATGATGATTATGAATATAACTACGAATACATGGAGGAAGATGAGGAAGGTCATGGGCACTAACACAGTGTGGTTAGTGGTGGAGAGAGGGATATCTTTTTTTTTTCTTTATGTTGTTGTTCTTCTTTGGTGAAAGTAAAATCACCAAGAAAAGAAAAAAGAGAAAGATAAAGAAAGATAGAACCCTTTTTTATATTTTTCGATGACTCTTCTCATCAATGTATACATGTATTTGTTTCTTTCTTTCTTTCTTTGGTTAGTTGATTAATGGATTCTTTATTATTATCATTAGTCTTACTATTAAGGTCTTTTGTTTTTATTGCACCCGTGAGTAAAAAAAAAAAAAATGAAAAGATTGAAAATATGTCGTTTAATGGATATTATTATACATAAACCCAAACACACACATACACAAAAAAAAAGAAAAAAGAAAGAGCCATGTGCTTTAAACTTATATCATTATTTTTCTTTGATCATATATATCTCTCTACGTATATTTGTTTGTTTCTTTGTTTATTTGCGTATTATGTTTCCATCATTTCTTTTCTCTCTTATTCTCTCTCTCTCTTTTTCTTTCTATAACAATGTATATCTACCATCTTTTTTTTTCTTTCCCTTTCCTTCCCTGGTTGTTGTTTTTGTTTTTTTTCTCTTTTCGTTATTATTATTGTTGTTCTTCTTTAGTCTTCCGTTTCCTCCACTCCTTTCAGCCACATTACCTGATTCCACAAGGCGGAGGATATTTAGACTGCATCGCTGGAGAGATATATATATAATGTGGAGTGCACTGAGTGAACTTGTCTCTCCTCCAGAGGCTGTGGCGGCAGTCATCACAAGCAGAACAACAGTGGATGTATCGATGAGTTCAGAGAATAATATTAATAATAATAATAATGATAATAACAATAATAATGATAATAATAATAATGATAATAATAACACTATGCCTATTGATCATTTGTCTAAAGATACCGAAACCCATACAATGACGACAGCGACCATAGACACAACGGCTGCTCCTGCGACTGTTGTGAAGGCGGAATTGAAATCTCCTGGAAAAGAGATACAACATCAGGAGGAAAAGGAAAAGAAAGAAGAAGTAGTAGAGAATAATAATAATAATAATAATAATAATAATAATAATAATAATAATTCTAAATCTAATGAAATCTCAATAACGTGGGAGGAGTTTTCCCGTCAACGCTTACATACCGCCTTCTTCTACGGTAGTCTCTTAATTCCTGGATTCGTAGGCTCTCAGCAGTGTCTATCCTCTGTCTCATCACATGGAAGTAAAACCCAAAATGTTGTCGATCTGGACTTGTGGAACCGCTACTGGTGTGCCTTTTCAGATAGTCTGGCCTCTTATATCGATGATCTTCAGGAGTATTTAGGCAAGCAAGAAGTAATAGAAAAGAAACGTTGTGTGCTTGTGGCTGCATCTCTAACAGTAGAGACAGATAACGAATTATTTCAAAATAAACTCGTCGGCTATGCCCGTTCTTTTGGGGCACTGGAGTCTGTTAGTCGTAAGCGAAGTATTGTCATGCTGCAGTTTACTCTTCCCCGCTCAGCAGAGATGTTTGCAGCGTGGGCATCTTCACTCACTCTTGACGATTTATTCCCTGAAAGTTATTTCTTAGATGCGAATAATATTCATAATAGCAGAAGAAACAGTAATAGCAAACTTGTCGTTCGGCTTGCTTTACAAGAGAATCACAAATTAACATCAACGTTACAGGTAGGGACGAATGTTGTGCTTTCAACACCATTTGTAGAAGGTTTGTTTAAGGGGATTTTTGATGCTGAATCCGTGAGATATCATGCGGGTTCATTCCTTATTCGTTTTGCATCTATTCAAGCAGCAAAGCTCGCCCTTCATACCTTGCAGCGGTCATTTGTTGAAGTTTTTGGATTGGAACTTTCATTTTCTGAGGTATCGCAACTTCATGATACTCGAACGTCTCATGTTGGAGAAAAGACGAAGAGATCAGGGAGTAACGCGTCGTAACAAAGGCCTACAAGATATCTTAGTTTATTCTTAAGAAGGGTTATTCCAATTTTGTTGTTGTTGTTGTTGTTATCATCCCTTTTTTTTATCTTTCTTTTTTTTTCTTTCTTTTTCTCTGTTCTACTGCTGCTGTTGTTGTTGCTGTATGCTTTTCTGTTTTCTCTTCTCTCTTAAACTTTAGGTAAATAGAAATAAATAAATAAATAAAAAGAAAGAAATTCGTATTTTTTTTTTCAAATGTTCAAACGTTGGAATATTAATAGTAGAAGAACCAAAGAACGCCGCCGTAGTCGTTATGATATTATCATTCTAGCCATCGTATTAGTACTACTGGTGATATGGTTACTTCTATCAGCTCAAGTCTATCATAACGTAGAGGATGGGGCGGGTAATGATAAACCACTAGGGGAATCCACAAACATTAGAGATGCAAATAACAATAGTGGTCATCTTCCACACCGTCAACGTTCCTATACTCCTCCTCTCTTTGTAGATGGAAACATACCGCCTAATGTGAACTCTATTTTTCTTCCTCATCGCTATCCTGTACATGAGAATTTACCAGGGAATTCTTCAGATATTACTGCAGCCCTTTATGAAAAGAAAGTCACACATCAAGAAGAGTGCTGGAGAAGTTCTTCTCAATCACCCATATTCCCATCACCACCAAGTTTAATAAAGGAGCAATTACAACCTGTTTATGTTGAAAAATCTGATTTGTTATTGCGACAAGAATTTCAGTTTTTAAATAATAATAATAATAATAATAATAATATGAGAAATAATTCTCTTAGTAAGAATGAAACATTCTATTTGGGTTATGATACTCCTTCTTCTTTAAATAATAAAGAATCTCCATGGTGGGTTTCTAGTGGGTCTCATCTACCTTGTACTGCATCTATTCAACGACGACTGTATGAATATGAAAATTTAGCTTCTTGTGAAGAACGAACATTTTTACTTTCTGATATTAAAGCTGGTGGATATGGTCTTGGTGGATCTCTTGTTTTACTCGCCTTTGATTTTCTTAATGCTATGATACTTGGTAGAACTTTGGTAATTGGTGCTCCTTCTACCGTTAATAGATGGAAATTTCTTGCTGAAGGTTGTTTTCAAAATGGGATACGTGCATTAGATTGTTTCTATCTTCCCCCAACGCGATGTAATGTATCTAATGAACCTATTCATAATGTACGCACACGAACACAAGCGGTGCATAGTAGTGCTCGTGTAATACGCAAAAAAACTTTTGAAATGCCTGATTTGAACCGAGATAGTATACCAACTGATGAAGCCTTCTTTGGACCTGGTTATCAAGAATGGAGTTGTTATCCAGAGTATCTTAATTGGATAAATAATCCAGCAAATATGGTGGTACAGGGAACTTTTAAAAGTGGTATAGATACTAGACTTTATTTTATGTTGGCTCAAGTTTTTATGTACCTAACACGTGCTCCACAACCATGGTTTCAACAGATGATTTATCATCATCTTTCTCCACTCGGTATTTTATCTACTCATGAGAATGAAATAATGAGAAAGATTAATAATCAATGCACTATTTATATTCAAGATCGTGGAGAGGAAGGAAAAATGAGAGAATATTATAACGTTTTTGGTTGTCATACGGTTGGACTTTCACTTTATAGAGATTATGTTCGTACTATAAGTACATCTACAGAATTAAATTCTTCAAAAATTCCTTGTTCAGTGTTTGTGAGTGGTGGAACTCCATTACAGAGTTTTTTATGGCTTAAAAAACAATTAGAAGAATATTCTTATCCTGTTATGAGTACATGGAATTTGTCTACTCTATCTGCTGGAGCTGAATCCGTTAGGTGGGGAGCCAGTTCACCTGCTGCATCTTGGGTGGATATGTACGCAGGCGTTGCCAGTACAAATTGGGTTTGTATGGTACAATCAAATTGGTGCCGCGTAATTGACTTTCTTAGAATGACACATGGAAGAAAAAATTGTGGTTTTATAGATATTGGGATATTATTACTAACTTCAGTTGAATTTCGTAAGAAGTATTGTGTTATTGGAGACTTTCCAACGAAACCGTTTTCTAACGTAATTAGAAAGTAAATATTATTTATGTACAGAACATGAAATAAACAAACATTTATTTTTATTTTTGATATTTCAAGTTTAAAAGTGTCTTTAAATTATATTATTGCTTTATTTTTCCTTCTTTGCCTTTTTTGGTTGCTATTTGTATCCGTAAAAAGGGTCCACATTACTTTATGAATTTCTTTGTTTGTTTGTTTGTTTGTTTGTTGTTTGTTCTTGTTGCTGTTTTTTGCTTTATTAGCCATTTATTTTTCTTATTTACTGTAAAATATGAAAAATAAATAAATAAGCAAAAGATAATCTGTCTGTAGAATTCCTTTCTCTTTTTATGAATCTTTTCTTCATCTCTCCATCTCTCTCTCACACACACACCATATATATATACAGTTTTTTTTTCTCTACTTGATTCTATGAATGGAGATGTTGGTTCGTCTGAAGTACCTCGCTTGCCCTTTAGGAGGATTATTATTCTTTCAAGTGATGGCATGCGTTGGTTAGGCGCGGCATGTGCCATCTCATTGGCACAATCACCCATGCTTAGACCAGACAAACAAGGAGGCTGCACTCAGATTATTCTCGCCAATCAATTCAACACACCCCAAATTATTCTTTCAGGGGAGGAGTGCCTCTCTCGTGGGGTGACGTCCATTCCCTCCCTCACCGCAATGAAGGCATTATGTCAGGATATCACACACGGCACAGCTGCACTGCAGCGTGTGGGGTTTGCGGTAGACGCGGCGCAACTACCGGGAGTGAAAGCCCCACACTTTGCGGTGGATTGCACGCATGATGTGTATATCTACATCGCTGCCTGTAGTGATGCGGTGTGTGGTGATCACGCTGCCCTCCGCTCTCTCCTCTCTCTCGCCACATCTCAACAAGAGCCAACGCCTCGCACCACTCGGAATCGACATGGTGGTCGTCTTATTTTATTAACGGATGATGCCACTCGCCCGGCGGTCTCTGCGGCGGCGACCCGCTCACTTCTCCAACCCGCTGTCGGCCGCTGTTGTTGTTGGCGTTTATTTCTCGCTGGCGCCCCGCACTTCGCCCCGCCGGCCGGTGATCTCCGCCTCACGCGTGCCGTCGTCCGCCGCGGGGCCGTCGCGCGGGGGGTCCTCGAGGCCGTCGCGCTCGGCGTCGCGCTTGGAGTTCTCCGCCGGCTGCCGGCCGCCTTCCGCGACCCCCTCCCCGCCGCGCCGCTCGACCTCGCCGCCCACACCGCCCTCCTCGCCCTCGCCCTGCAGGAAGAGAAACAGAAACAGGGAGAAGCGGGGGAGCAGGAGAAATATGAAGAAGAAGAAGAAAGGGAGAGAGGAGGAGAGGGGAGAGGGGTGTTGCGGCGGTTATCGGTGGAGCCCGTCGCTGGGGAGGGGTTGGTGTGGGGAATGCTCGCAGAGTATCTGATGGATTACTACGGCAGGGTAGGCTCAACTGTCGCCAAGGACTTTCCACTGCCTCGTTTGCTAGATCCCAAGCCAACACTGCAGTTGAATGCGTCCGTTCCAGATTGGATAAATTATGGATTCTCGTTGATGATGCCATTTCAGTGCTATTATTCATATTGTGAAACTCAACGGCGTAAACAGTTAATGAGTTACTTTCCTGGATCTAAAGCGTCTAAATGTATTCAAGCAACAATTGATAATATTGATGTAACTCTTCGTGGTATCACTAGTATGGTAAAATCACATCCGTTACCCACCCAATCTATTACAACGAATAATAACCATTCTTCATCATTACCGACATCATTATTAGAAACAGGAAATGCATATTACAGTTCTTTAATTCAGGAAATTGGGTGTAATGAATCTTTACGATCTTTATATCCTCTTATTTCATTAAATTCTGTAAAATGGGATCTTTTTATCAAAGTTATTGCACAAGGAGTGATAGAACAATTCGCATGGCAAGTTTCCAATCGTTCTATTAGTTTACCTCCTCCTTTACCTCAATACCATAATGATATTGTTTTTCATGGTACTAGACGTGCACTTCCAACAAAATTGTGTCCACGTAAATTCTTTACCGATATTCACTGGGTTGCTCGATGTGGAATGTACCCTTGTGGAGTTCGTGTATCTACTGAACCAGGACTTACAAAAGAGATACAATCATGTATTTTGAAACAACCAGAAGTTTTAAAAGCTATTGATGAAACAGCAAAGGCAGAAGATTCATCTATTAGTGTAGTAGAAAAACGTTCAGAAAAAATTTTACGAAATATTGGTGATAACCTTAATCAAGTTCAAGTTCGTGCTTTTGGTTTAATCGTACGTCGTGTATTATTTCAACTTTATGATGAAGTGACTCTCAATAATGATGCCTTTGAGCGATTATATAGTGTTTTTCATACTCCACGAGTACATATTATGCTTCTTCCAGCTCATCGATCTTATGTGGATTTTCTTATTATAACATATCTTCTTGTGGCGATGAATTTTCCACCTCCTCATGTTTGTGCAGGTGAAGATTTTCTTCGAATGGGTTTTATCTCTAAACTTATGCGTGGTAGTGGAGCATTCTTTGTGCGTCGTTCATTCCGTGGTGATAAACTTTATCAATCTATATTTGGAGAATATGTACGACAACTGGTTCTTCATCATCGAGTAATGGAATTTTTTATTGAAGGAACACGTAGTCGTACAGGTAAAATGCTTTCTCCAAGACTTGGTATACTTAAATGTGTTGCAGATACTTTCTTTGAAGGACAAAATGGGGTGGATGATGTATGTATTCTTCCCATTAGTTTATCTTATGATGAGTTATTAGAAACTAAATTATATGCAAATGAGCAACTTGGTATATCAAAGCCAAAAGAGAGTCTTGGAAATTTATTAAAGGCACGATCTTTACTTAAAACTAGACATGGAAAAATTCATATACATGTAGGTGAAGTACTTTCTCTTCGGAATTTCCGAGAAAACCCATATCAATGTCCTGCCCCTTTTGAACCTATAAAGGAGAATGAAAAGATCACCTCACATATTGTAAGTAATCCAACAAAGAAATCATTCACTCCACTTCCGGTGTTAACCAATCTCGCTTGGCATATAACGCATAGTATTCAAGAGAATACCGTTATTACACCAACAGCATTACTCGCTACAATTCTTAGTGTTTTTGGAGGTACAAAAACAGGTATATTATTAGATGAAGTTTATAATCACATGGCCTGGCTACGATTACATATAGTTAAAAGAAAAGGTATTTTAAGTATGGATTCTTCAGAGGAAAATATTAAAGGTATGACAGATTATGCAATTTCTCATCTTTTAACTTTTATAGAAGTTGTGGAAAACGATACGAAAATCTTGATTCGTCAAGATATTAGTTCTTATATGGGTATTGCTATTTGTAGTAATCAATTAATTCATGTTTTTCTAGATGAGGCTGTTATTGCAGTTGTAGCATATACATTTGGTAAAGTTGATAAAAATAAAAAATCAATTCATATTCCAAAAAAAGATTTGAAAAATGAATGTGAACAACTACGTCAATTGCTTTCAGGGGAATTTCAAGATTATCTTCCCTCATGTCCCTATACCTTTACCTCATGGTTTGAAAATACCTTAACAAAACTTCAATATTTTGCTGCGGATGATGATGATGATAACGATAGTAGTAATAATAATAATAATAATAATAATAATAATAATAATAATAATAATAAAGCGGATAATTGTGATTCTACTTGCAATTATACATCGGATCAGCAAAATACCATATCTTCTTATAGAGGAAGTACACCTCATAACTCCATGAATAGTAATAATGAAAAGAAAACAAATGAAAACGAAGTATTATCTTTAGGATCTAATGATACCATTATTATTATTATACCCATGACGAAACAGTTTGGTCTCTTAAATAGTATTTTATTTCCTTTTCTGGAGTCTGCGTATATTATTTCCCTTGCTCTCTCTGCTATTATAAATTCGGGTGGGGAGAGGGAATTACGTAAAGGTCCTTTCTTGAAGGCCTCTCGCAAAGTTGGTTTAGATTTATATAATTCCAATCGACTGGTTATGTTTGCCAGATCCTGCGGGAATGATTCCCTTAAAAGTGCTCTCGAAGGTATTGAGAGGTTTACGTCTCTGAGGAATGATATCAGTGCGAAGGAACCGACGTATTTACTTCCCTCTACTCTCCCTTCCTCTACGATATCGGCAGAGATACAGGGGCTTCTGGAGAAGTTGAGAAGATTTCACTCCTACTTTATGCTTCTTCATTCGGAAGAGAAGGAAAGAGAAGAAAAGGAAGAGGAACAGTCAACGAGGGCTCTTTTTCTAACTTCCTATCGAGAGTTTCTCGCAGCAACAAAACAATCTGCAAAGATATAAAAGATTTGTGGTGAGGTGAGAGAATAAATAAATAAATGAAAAGATCATATTTACATAAAGGGAGAGAAAAAGAGGATGTGGTTGTGTTTTTCTCTTTTTTTTTTTTTCTTCAATTGCGTTATTAATATATATTTCTCTCTCTGTGTGTGTATGTATGTTTCTTTGTTTGTTTGTTTATTTATTCTACCTAGGTACTATTACTAACAATGGGTGTACCTTTTTTTATATTTTTCTGTTAGCGAATGATCTTTTGAAAACGGCGGCCTATAATTGTAAATAGATCAGCGAAGTAATGTTTCCAATTATGTTCATCGTCTTTTTTTTTAATCTTCTACTTACATCTATGGCCCTTTTCTTTTTTCATTTACTTATTACTTCTTTTTTTTCTTTTTAATTCAAAAATATTCAATATTTATTATGAAATTAAAAACAAATACAAAAACGAAAAAAAAACTAATAATATTAATATGAAACGTTTGATGGATGAATGGATGTGAAGTATGGGTAAGAATCCACGGAAAAAGAAAATGTGATGGCGAGAGAAACACGAAAGAAATATATATATAATCATCATTAATGATAACGATAATGTTATTCGAAGAAGATTGGTCATGTTCTTGTTGTAGTTGTTTTTTTTGTGTGTATGTATGTATTTGTTTGTGTTGCGAACTCATCACCTTTATTGAGTATATCATCACATATCTTATCTGATATTGCACTATTAATACGAATTACTTAATCATTATTATTACCTATATATATATATATATATATATATATATATTATTTATATAAATAATATAGATAATATCTCTGTTTTTCTTTTTTTTCTTTGTATTTATGAATGACGTTTACCTTTTTTTTTATTTTATATTCTCCTCTTGGTTTTCTTTTTATTTGTTTTTTTTTTTAGTTCTTTGTATATTGAATAGGGACTTAAACCCCCCACAATAAAAAAAAGTAAGTAGACTTTTTTTTTATTTATTACTATTTCTAGTCTCCCTGTATCTCTGTATTTAAGGAGGAAGAGGAGGAGGTGTGAAAAAAAAAAAAAAAAAAAAAAAAAATCTTTTTATACTTTGAGAGATGATGATGATGCTATCACTACGCCGTGCATGGAATAAATCTCGTATGGCTTTATGGGAGGTTTTCTTCCCAGAAAGATTCATTTCATACATTGATCCCTTTGTTCGTCTCATCTTTACACTTTATCATCTTCCCTTCATTGCCCTTATAGTGGCTATTACCCATAGTGAACTGGAACGTATTGTTTGGGTTCTCATTGTTCCCGTCGCCCAAGAAATGGAGAAACAGCCTTACAATTCCTCTCATATGGAAACTTTCCTTCTTGGATTGTATGATATCTTTCGTAGTATTTCACCATTCTTTACACTTGGTTTGGCTGTGGCTACTGTGGGGCACAAGGTACTTAATTCTGTGGTGGAGACCATGGTAGATGCGCATTGTACACATTGTGGAAAACATTATCCACTCTTGGCAGCTAGATTAGCATTTGTAATGGAAAATAAAGAAAGATATACAATATTCCTGGTGGTATTCTTTCTATTAGTATCTATAGTACTTTCTATTCTTCATACCAATATACTTTTAGTTTGGACAGTACGTGAACCTATTGTCATGACTAGTTTATGGTGTATTATTGCTGTACAATTTTGTTTTGTTGTGGGATCCTTTTTAAGTCATAAATCCCTACCTCCTAAAGTATTAGAATGGAGAGAATTAGATGTTGTTGGGGATGTTACCTTTACAAGATATATTTGTGATGTTTGGTGGAGAACGTATATTCAATATATGCGGTATATTGCTGTAGAGATGGTTATCGCTATTGCAGGAATATCTCTTTTTTATAGAGGTCCTTTATATGTTCTTTCAT